CGCCGCCACTCTCACACTCAGGGCAGGGCCAATGGGGAGGTTATGGCTCTACCCCATCACACACAGAGCATGGCCGATCAGGGGGTTGGGGCTCTGCACCCTGTCACACACAGAGCCGCAGGGCAATCAGGGGGTTGGGGAGCTCCCCCTATCAGGCACAGAGCAGGGCTGATCAGGGGGGTTGGGGCGCCTTCCCCTGTCGCGAACAGAGCAGGGCGGATAGGGAGGTTGTGGCCCCGTCCCCTGTCACACACAGAGCCACAGGGCGATCAGGGGGTTTGGGTGCTGCCCCCTGTCACGCTGATCCCGGTGCTGGGAGACATATTACCCTTTTACTATATAGAATAGAGGCCTGGTGCACGGGTGGGGGCCGGCTGGTTTGCCCTGAAGGGTGTCCTGGATCAGGGTGGGGGGTCCCCACTGGGGTGCCTGGCCAGTCTGGGTGAGGGGCTAAGGGCTGTTTTCAGGCTGGTGGGTGACTGAAGCTCCCAACTGCTCCTTTTTTTATTTTTATTTTTTATTCTGGGCCAGCTTTAGCTTTGAGGCTTGGCTCCAGCTCTGAGGCCTCCGCTGCTGAAAGCAGGTTTCTGGCCTTTCTTTACCTTCTGTATTTGAAACAATGTTGTGATCCTGCTGGCTGATGCCCGACGGACTAAAGCAGGTTTCTGGGGTTTTGTTTAGCTTCTATATTTGTAACATAGTTGCTTAGAGTTGCAGCTCAGAGGCCGGCAGCGGCAGGCGGGGAACGTTGGAGTCCTCCGTCACTGAAGCAAGCAAGCCTCATGTTCGCTTTAAGCTGCCTGGCTGCTGGCCGCCATCTTGGCTGGCAGTTAATGTGCATATTGCCCTGATTAGCCAATGGGAAGGGTAGCGGTCGTACGCTAATTACCATGTTTCTCTTTTATTAGATAGGATACTTCTAGATTCATGGATCAGACATTTGGACATTTTTTTCTATAGTCTTAGGTTATTAATTTCTAATTTAATTTCACTGTAGTCAGAAAACTATGTATGTTCTCTATATGATTTTAATAATTTGAAATTCATTGAAACATCCTGATGACTCAGCATATGACTAATTTTTATAAATGTTGAATGGATACTTGAAATATTGCGTAGTATGCAGTTGTTGGGTACAGTGTTTGATGTACATCAAATACATCGTTTGTTCATGAGGTTCAAATCTTCTATAGCCTTATTTTTTTTCTCTACATACTCTATGAGTTAGCTACAGAGGTTTCTTAAATTCTCCAACTATTATTGTGGATTTATCAATGTAGATTTATTCTTTTAGTTCTTTTAGTGTTTTTAAAAATATTTTTATTGATTTCAGAGAGGAAAGGAGAGGGAGAGATAGGTAGAAACATCAATGATGACAGAGAATCATCAATTGGCTGCCTCCTGCATGCTCCCTTTGGGTATTGAGCCTGAAACCTGAGCTTGAACCCTGACTGAGAATTGAACCATGACCTGCTGGTTCAGAGGTTGATGCTCAACCACTGAGCCAGGCAGTTCTTTTAGTTTTGACTTTATATATGTTTAGTCTATGCTATTATATGTCTATAAATTTAGAATTGCTATGTATTCCCGTTAAAATATCCTTCTTTATGAATCATCTTCTTTGTCACTAATAATAATTCTTGTTTTAGAGTCTACATCAACTGTATTTTAGTTGGCATTACTATGGTTTATCTTTTATATCTTTTTACATTCAGCATTTTTATATCTTTTTATTTATGGTGTGTCTCTTATAGGTAGCAAATAATTGAATTTTGTTTTATCTAGTATTTCAACTTTTGTATTTTAGAATTTAAATCTCAGCTGGCTGTTGACCAAAATGTGAGAACTTGGAGAAGTTTTAACCTCTCTGACCTTCTCCTTCCTCCCATTTTAATAAATACCTGGGAAATGAAGTTGAAGAAACCTTTAAAGATCAGATAATCTCATTTTCATTTAAACTATTCAGAGCAAAATAAAGGAAAACTTCCAAATACATTATATGAAACTAGTATCATTTTAATTCCTAAGACTGAGAAAAACAGCACCTAAAAGTTATAGACTATGCTCATTTATGAGTATTAATGCAATAATATATTTAAATCATAGAAAACAGAATTCAGCAGCATGTTTTTAAAAATACACAGTGGTATATATAGAATTGTATACACAATGGAATACTACTCAGCCATAAAAAGGCAAAATATTGCCATTTGTAACAACATAGTCAGACCATGTGGGTATTTTGCTAAGGAAATAAGTCAGACAGAAAAGGATAAAAACCATATGATTTCATGCATATTAGTATGTGGAATATAAAGCAAAAAAGTAGCAAACAAACTCATAGATATGGACAACAGATTGGTGGTTATTAGAGGGGAAGGGGGTTGGGGGAGAGTGAAATGGGTAAAGGGGGTCAAATATATGGTGACAAATTAAAGCTAGACTTTTCGTGGGTGAGCACACAATGCAGTATACAGATATTGAATTATAATATACACCTGAAATTTATAAAATGTTATTAACCACTGTTACTTCAATAAAAAAATATAAAGAAAGAAAAGAAAGAATTTTTTAAAAAGTTATTCCAGAAATACAGGAATAATTGACTACTATGAAATCTAAATAAGTCATCAAGTTAATAGAGCTAAGGAGTAAAAAGTATCATATAGTCATTTCCATAAATGCAGAGAAAGTCTTTGATAAAATTCAACACACATCTTTTTTTTCCACTCAACAAATGTGTAAGAGCATCTGTTCTAATGTAGCACTGAGGATGCAAAACTGGAAAAGATACTCACATTCTAGTGGAGGGAAAGAGGCAGTGAGTGAGTAGGGGACACGCTGGGCCATTTGTTTTTAAATATTTATTTAAAAATATGTATGGATTTCATTAATATAATAAACATTTTATTTAATAGGCAAACACTGAAGATTTTTTTCTTAAAGTCAAAGACAAGACCAGGATGCCCACTATGTCCACAGTATTTAACATTAAATTAAGGGTTAGCTAAAGCAATAAGATAAGAGAAAGCAACTAGAGACATAGGAAATGAAAATAAAATCATTGCTATTTATAGGTTATATAAATAGAAAACCCAAAATAATTAATGGAAAAACTATTACAAACAATAGGATATTTAGTCAAGTGGCTGGTTATAAAATCAATATATAAAAATCAATTGCCATCATATTTACAAACAAAAATGAGTTAGAAGATATAATGGAAGAGAAATTCCATTTATGATAACAAAAATGAAATATTCAAAATACTTAAAGGAAATCGATAAAATACTCTTGAAAGAAAGAAAAGTAGACTTGGACCTATTGTTGAAAATACCATGTTGCTAGATAAGGTACAATATTATACCACAGTTGGCTTTCTCTAAGTTAATTTACCAATTTTATGCATTTGTAATAAAACTTCCATAAAGTTTTTTTCTAGAGCCATAAAAGTTGATTATTAATTTTCCCTGTTCCACAAACACTAGTTATTTGTGGAGGAGCCGCGTGGGAGGAGCTGGGTTTGCTTTATGCATGCTGTGCTTTGTGGCTACCATATCTCTCAGCACCCTGAGCACTGGCCATGCTCCCTCTTCTGAGCCCTGAGGTGTGAGTGTCCCCTCAGGAACCAGCATTCCGGAAGCTCACTTGGTTCATTGTGCTGTGTTGCTGGGCTGCTGGCCTCTGACATGAATCTTTCACTGACCTCCGCTGGGCTTTACACTCATTGCAGAGGTGGCAGTCAGAGAGTGTAGTTTGGGGAGGGCAAACTTCCCAGTGCCTCCTCAATTTTCTCTCTGATATCGCTTCCCCTCCTGACCGCCCCCGCCCCCCCAAAAAATGCTAGACAAGAATGCTGAGGTATGAAAGACCATGTCATTTGTTTAAAAAGTGCTGGCCTGGCACTGAATGGTCTTCTTGGTTGTGATGGTGAGGAGTTGGCCCAAGTTTGGTGTTTTATCTTCTTTTTTCTTCAGTTGCTCGCGTGGATTTTCAGCTTACTCTCAATAGTAGGCTTTTTGTCCTAAGCTGGTCATTGTTGATGAATTGTAGATACTTTATATTAGTTATGGAACTACAATATATGTTTTCAGCCCTTTCCCACTATTACTTCTCACTGGGTGTTTTTCTGCTTCCTGGGCATTCCAAACCCTACCTTTCCTTAAGCTATCATTATCTCTCCCTTCCTCCCTTATTCCTGTCTGAAAGCCTGCCCATTCGTCAGCACTATGTTCACAGGTTCTTTTACAAATCCCCTTCCAGCTGAATGTGAATATTTATCAAGAAAAAATAACCCCTTTATTTTTCGGTAATTTATGTTTGTTCTGTAGCTGCCTATTCAACTGCGAATATCTTCAATGCAGGACCTCAGTGTGTTTTATCAATGTAACTTCTAAAATACTTTGCTGATTGCCCTACACATAGCAGGAAGATGAGACTGAATTTAGAAAAACCAAGGGCTTACTGTAGTCAGTGGCATGGACTGGCATTCCATATTGTCCATAGATCCTACCCTTTGGAAACTATTGAATTGATCATAATCAATCACCAGATCATGCCGGTGACCTACACAAGCAATAGTGGCACCACTGATTGGAACCTGCTGCTGGTGAGATAACTGGCCCTCATTTATCGGTGTTTTCCCCAGGCCCTTCAAAGCACCTGCAGTCTAGGTGGAGGGTGAGGTATCGACCTGGAGCAGGTCTTCCACCTGGTACCAGCTCAGATTCCACATAAGGAAGACCGTGAGAGTTGGCTCTGCCCATTTGAAACTGCACAACTAACAGTATGTCCCCCTAAGTCCCCCCAGCAACAAGCTGTTTACATTTATAGGTATGTGTGTGCGGAGAGCTTAAGACCCATCCAGCGTTGCTGAATGTCATGTTCTTATGACATTGTTCACCTTTGTGTGAATAAATGGCTAGTAAAGGTGAGATGTTTGCAAGTAACTGTGCACATGAATTATTCTTCAAAAACACAAAGCCTTTCTTTTCTTGCAGGAATTGAGAAGCTTTGAAGTCACCAGAAGAGAAGGTAGGAAAATGCGTTCATACCCATTTCATTCTTGTGTTGACGTCTTGGGAGCAGTTTGTTGAAGCTAAGATGAACTTCAGAATGTGGGAAGCCTGTTCTTTGAAATTTCATGTGGCCTTTCCTGGGTGCTGACTATTTGGCATTTGGCTTCTAGGGACTCAAGCACTGAGTGCCTGGTTTGCTTGTGAGAACTTTGTTTTCTTCCTTCAAGGATCAGAGGTGATGGTTGGGGAACTGGCTCACTCATGATTATGTTTACAGTCTCTTGCAAGAAGCCTTATTTCATTTTTAGTGAAGTTTGATATAACTATTTAGTTTCACCCAGCAAAAGCAGCATCAACAATAGAAAATGGTTTATGTTTTGAGGTATTTCAATATCTTGGAAAAGATGCCACTGTGAAAAATATTTCTGATTAGATTTTACAGCTTTAGCTAAGCTGAAATAGACATAACCAATTACTTTTCCTTTTGAAAACAATTCTGTGATATCCTGTTTTCCCTGCCAGAGTTCCTTAGCACATTTGTTTTCTGGTCTCTGAGGTAAGTATATGGGTAGTAATTTCTGAAATCTTTCTGTGGAAATTTAAGTTTCCCTTATTGTCCTTCAGCAATACCTGGTCTCTAATAAAGGAAAGTCTTTTGTATGGTTTATGAAATCATCACCAGTCATCCCTTAATTGAAGGGAAGATGAAGTCAGAAACCAAAGTGAGTTCTTGGTCTAGGATCTGGCCTTTGGTTTTATTATTTTTTTATTGTTGACACTATTACAAGTGTTCTCCACTTTCCCCCTCTTTGCCTATCTCTGCCCTGCCCCCGCTCCCCACCCCTGACCTTCACCACATTGTTGTCTGTGGCCATAGGCTATGCATATATGCTCTTTGGCTAATATCTTTACCTATTATCCAGTCCCCCTCCTCCCAACACCCTCCCCTATGACATCTGTCAGTCTTTTCCATGTATCTGGTTTTATTTTGTTCATCAGTTTATCTTGTTCATTAGATTCCACATAATAGTAAGATCATATAGTATTTGCCTTTCTCTGACTGGTTTATTTCACTTATCATAAAAATCTCTAGGTCCATTCATGCATAAGAGTTCCTTCATTTTACAGCTGCATAGTATTTCACTGTGTAAATGTACCAGAGCTTTTTTATCCACTCATCTACTGATGGACAGTTGGACTATTTCCAGATCTTGGCTATTGTAAATCACACTGCTATGCACATAGGGGTGCATATATTCTTTCTGATTGGTGTTTTGGGATTCTTAAGATATATTCCTAGAAGTGGGATCACTGGGTCAAAACACAGTTCCACTTTAAATTTTTTGAGAACCATCCATACTGTTTCCATAGTGGCTGCACCAGTCTGTATTCCCACCAGCAGTGCATGAGGATTCCCTTTTCTCCACATCTGCACCAGCACTTATTGTTTGTTGATTTATTGATGGTAGCCATTCTGACAGGTGTGAGGTGATACCTCACTGTGGTTTTAATTTGCATCTCTCTGATGATTAATGACATTGAACATTTTTTCATATGTCTGGCCTTTGGTTTTAGATTAATTACACTTTCTCTGTGGCAATGTCTCCAAAAAGTGGCAATCTTTAAAAAGTGAGCAAATCCCATATTGACTCCCAAATTTAACATATTCCTGCCTCCTGTTTAGCTCTTATTTTGTATACTACAATGAAAGACATAGAATGGCCATTTTGTCAAAGTGTGTTCCTAGAGCTTAGAGACCTAAACTTTCCACACTATCTGTATTAGTGGACTATCCCAACTAGGTGTTTGCTGCTGTCCATGGTGCTGGAACCTTGGAGTCAAAGGAGGTAGATAATCTGATTTAGGATGAACGTCTGGCTTCCATTCCCATTTGCTATTGTCTCTGGCTTGCTGCTGTCCATGTCCTCTGAATTGCATCCATAGGTTAAAACTGCACTATTTGGGTAGCAAAACTAAATTAAATTGGGTGAAGGTGGGTGGGGCAGGGAAGGCACGTTTCTTATTGAAAGTTGTGTTCACAATGGGTGTGATGACCATGAGTTGAAGAGAAATAACCACAAGGAGAGAAGGTGACATGAACTTCGTTTTTGATTACTATTCAATTCATGTCAGTATTTCTAAGTGTGAATGTTTGGAATTCATTTGCATTGTGGAATCACATTATTTTGGAATCTTCCTGTCCTTCCTGTGTTAGAAATGTTTCTAAATAGTAAGATTGGGGTACGAGAGAACTATGGATATTTTTCTCAAAGGCATAAAACAGTCTGAGGCTGTCTGAGGATGAGCAAAGGCTTGGCCAGGCTGTACTCTACTCATCCTGAAGCAGCAGCTTTCACACTGGCTGACCAGCACTTCCTTCGGGTTTGTACTGGCAAATTTGTCTTGACACCACATAAACGTCTTGCTTCCTGTTTGCACTGATGTCTTGCTTGCTTGTTTCTGTCAAAGTGGAGTGTTTGAGAATTCCTGAAATAGCCCAGTGCCTTAATGTCAATGCCGATAACCTGGCAGCAGGAAGGAAAAGTGAACCTTGCAGGTTGCTTGCAAGTATTTCTCTGTCTGAGAATTCATGGGCTTGGCAGTGGGGTTGTTAATCTTTTCCAGAGCAGTGTAGGGGTATACAAATAATAAAGGCACTGTGAACATTTAAATAAAGTATTATTCCTCAAAGCAGAAGACATTGTCTACCCACAGATACTTAAGTTTGGGGGCCTTAGCTTTGACTTTGAGCTAGGGCTGAAAGAGAAGCAAATAAGTCACACTCTGAATGTTTCTGTCCAGTGTACTGGGCCCAGCAGGTTCTGGAGAGGTAGCCTCTGGATCACAACATCTAGGATATTTTTGTTTTGTGTTGTTTAAGTACTGTACCTGACTCAGGGCTACAACTAGATGACCAATTGCAACTTCACACTATATGACTCCTGGACACTCTCCACTAAGTCTGTGAAGTGATAGGGACTCATATCAGTAGTGGAACTGGAGTCCAGGATAAATCATAGTGGGGCTGGAGACTGTTAGTGACATGACGCACTGTTTGCCTGAGACCTGCTCTCTGCCGTGTTTCCCCCTACGGTCCTCCCAGCCTTGGGTCCAGTGTTATGGTCCCAGACTATAGCCCAGCTTCCTTACCTCTGGCTTCACTCAAATTGTTCCTACAGCCTGCATGCTCTTTCTTGTAAGTAGTATTTAGCATACCCTACCTTCTCTGAGAGATCAGAGATCCTATTAGGTCAACCATTTCCTGAGAGTAGAGACCCTCCCCTCATTCACCCCAGGTCCCTCACAACCCTAGCCCAGGCCTGTAACTACTCAATAATTGTTTCTTGACCTAAATGCAAGCTACACATTGCTTTGTATGGGTCCTAACCCAATGAGTGATGTCCTGATTAGAAGGGGAGAATTTGGACACACACGTAGGGAGGACACCATGTGATGATGGAGGCAGAGACTGGAGCGGCGAGTCTATTCGCCAGGCATTGCTGGCAACCACCAGAAGCCAGGCAGAGGCAAGGAGGCTCCTCCCTGCAGCCCTCAGAGATAGCAGGGCTCTGTCAACACCTTGGTGTCTGACTTCCGGTCTCCAGAACTGTGAGAAATTAATTTTTCTGGTTTTAAAGCACCGATTTGTGGAACTTTGTTACAGCACCCCTAGGAAAGTACTGCACCAGGCAACTGCCGGGCTCAGAATTGAGCTAGTTTTGCCATTGTTGATGTTTTACTGCAGAACCTCTCAGGTCTTTAAGGTGCTAAGTCTGACTGTCCACAATGGGGTGTAATATGCAGCATTTCCCAAGCTTAGCTTCCCAGGGCATCTCCGTTTTGTTGTTTTTTAACATGTTGTGACTGGCATGCAATGCCCTTTGCAAGCCCTGCTGTGGAGAGTTCAGGGAGAAGGCGCACTTCCTCAGTGCCCAGGATGGGATGCCCTGGCACCAGTGACGTCCAGGGCGGTGCAAGGACAGGATAGTAGGGTAGTAATAATGATAATCACTTCTCAGTTGCTCTGAAGTTCTCAGAGACCTTTCACTTTTTTTTTAATCCTCACCTGAGGATATTGTTTCCATTGCTTTTCAGAAAGAGTGGAAGGAAGGAAGGGAGGGAGGGAGGGAGGGAGAGAGAGACATTGATATGAGAGAGACGCATCAACTGGTTGCCTCTCACATGCACCCCGACTGGGAGGCAGGGAGCAAACTGCAACCTAGGTATGTGCTCTTGACCAGGAAGTGAACCCATGGCCCTTCATTGTGCGGGCCGACACTCCAACCACTGAGCAACACTGGCCAGGGTGACCTTCACCATTCTTTACCTCCCGTGACGTGACTCTCGGCAACCCAGAACATGATTAGGTAGCACCTTATACATGAGACTCCGCCCTTCCTAGCCATCTGGTTTTAGTAGCAACAAGCATCCCTCTGATGCGTCCATCCTCTCTCTAAGGGGTGGTGGTTTACATGACTTGATCTTGTGTTATCACATCCAAAGTCTGTGTACCTACAAGGTCTCTGTACCTACGTGCCCACTCCCAAGCCAGACTGCCAGGAGGGACTCTTGTAAGGAAACTTCCTAGGGGAGCTTTGTTTCCAGTTAGCTCTGTGGTAAGGATTTTCGGGGGGACCTGGAGGGAGATATAGTTTCAGAGATTTTGGCAGGACTGAAAGACTGGTAGGATTTTTTGGGGGGGAAGGACCCGTGCCTTCCCAGCTGGATGAAGCCCTTCCACCTTCAGGGCAGCCCCGTATTATCCTCAGATCCTGGGACGCACGGGTGCGAGCTGCATGGGGAAGGCGAGCAGGCTGCTGCATCATCTGCTTTCCCGTGCAGGTGTCCCCCCTCCCCCCAGATGCCCACAATTTAATTTCAACTTTTTCCTGAGGCTTCAGCACAAGGTGCCAGCCTCACCTCTCCTAGCCACTCCCAAGTCCACTCAGAGGGCTGGTGCTGGTTGCGACTGCCAGGTCTCATCTGCTCAAACCAGTCCTTCCTCTCACCGATCCC